CCACATATGGGCTTACTAACGAACGCATGAGAGGGAAGCCAACCTGTGAACATCCAGTACCCGGAGACTATATTAACACCAAATCAGTTGTTAAAGGTGAATGTTCACCGTAAATATTACGCAGTGTTCGACTCCTGCCTCATTGCTCGTTCTATTGGTCGGTTCGTTAGTATCTAGCTGTCAAAGATGGCCGTAGTCACTGCTACTTCACGAAGTGTTCTAGCTAGTTCGCGTCTGATGACGTGAACTTGACACTAGTGTCTGGGTAGACATCACTGAACAAAATTTGTTCAGAGAGCCCACAAATGGCATTTTCCGAATGAACCTACGCAAAAAACAAAAGGGTGGGTGAGCTGTTGTATGAACATTCTCCAGAAGACCAAACAGCCCGGGGATTTTTGTCCAAAGTTCGACCAAATGCAGTCATGTACTGACTGAACTGATCAGCGTAAAACCAGTAGGTAAAGCCATGTTGGATGTTTCATATCTTTTGGGATTGCTAAACTGTGTAACACCAAAAGTAAGCAGAACCAACTCCCCGTACCTGTTGTTGGGCGTTCAGCTGACGTTATGGGTCGTTGACCAGGTGACTGTTGATCTTTTCACCAAACTTGGTAATTAACTTGCTTGTAGTTTGTCCACGTAAGAGGAGACACTATCAATGCGCTGTTGGATGGGTACTTCCTCTCTTACTGCGTGCGTTTATACAGCGCTTTGTACGCACTTCGCTAGTTGGGCGGCGGCCTTTCCTTCGTGAATTTGATGGGTCATTTGTGATCTTTGTTGCCTTATGGTTTTGTCAAATGGTTAAACTTATGTTTCTATTCCGCAAAGTAAATGGCGACTATATATTCGGTGAATAGCTATTGTATATCGGTTGATCAAGTACAAGGAAGGGTGTGTATAAAAGAGTTAAAGAGTACATCGATCATATCATCACATCACATCACGTACGTGAGCTGTGCCACTTATTTCATCCACCAAAGGATCCCAGGTTTCCTTGATTTTAAAAAGCTTTCGACTCAATTGGCAGTTTATTTTTCCTAGATATCCTTGACCAGAAGAGGAAGCTGATGAAGCTTTAAAAACATTGTTGTTGCCATTTACTGTGCTCGAGTGATGACGAGAAGTTTTCTCAAAATCGGTGGAGCTCGTCAGGGTTGTCCTATATCTATAATTTTATGATCGGTGCCATCACAGAGTGCACACTCCGAGGGACTGTAGAGTCATATCTGAGAAGAAATGAAGGAATTTCGTCAGTTTACCGGAAGTGAGGCTCAAAATTACTTATTTAACCAAGAACGTAGCCGACCTACTGAATAGTGGGTAAGATCAGCATACGCATATCGATTTACTGTCCTCACCGCTGTCATCATTATTGACAGCAATACACTAGTATTACATACTTGTGCCTAACTATCGCTCAGCCATGAGGGTAAAAGTCCTTAGTAAACAGCGGATAGGTGACGGAAGGGAAGGAACTAAAGACGAAGATGTTATTCAGATCATTTTGTTGGGATATTCGCACATCTGTCGTTTTGCGGAAGTCACAGAACGTTTGCAAATTACACTGACTAGTAGCAAATGTTTATTTGTCAGGCAGCTTGGCGTCTCAATTAGGAACTATTATTATTAACTTCATTATTCGTTATTAGCTTTTATTAACTGTATGATTCATTAACCGATTATTGACTTCTATTATTAACTTCTACCTGGCACTGCGGTCTGTTCACTGAGGGGGTGGATAATAAACGGATCGGTGTTATGCTATTTATAAGATTTTTGTGAGTAAGTTACGCAGATTAACCGCCACTTTCTTCTTTCACACGGAGACAAATTATGAATTGTACTCTTCTTTTAAAAAGGTCCTTGTTGATAACCGTTAAACTACTTTACCCAGGTGAGAGTCGGTGAAGAAAACATGCGGCTAGCTATTTGCCAGCCGCTCAATAGTCAGAACTATTTTTATCTGATTATTCGCATTACTATCCCATGAGCCGTCTACATATCTCGGGATATTCCGGGTTGGCAAATCATAATCTTCTTTACTTCCACTCAGAATAATCATGCCACGGTTTTTACAATAAATTACAGTTTTCTCCCAACGGATTGGCCTAATCTCAGTATGAGATCTGATTTATTGCCCACTTTTGGGTAGGGTGAGACCATGTCTCTACACAGAAGCCTACCACAATTGTTAGCAAACAATACAACATTGGGCTATGAGGACTCACAATTTCCTAAAAAAATATTCATTCATTCACCGGGACAACTACTACTTGCAAATCTACCAACCATATAAGCATCATATTAACAGGATACTTCCCGACTGAAATCTCCGGCTTTGTTTCTACATCAAACATTTCCGGTACACGAAGCAACTACTCCAAACGTAGGTCGTCTAAAATGAATGACAGACGTCAGTACAATGGGTGGCTGAACCGACAAATGCCTCAATTCATCGGATGACTTCTCCCTATGTGGTGAGTTCCCTTGAATTTTCGCTTCCTTGACAACATTAAATCAGGAGGTAAATCTGTGAGCCCTTCCGAGAAACAACTAAACTACAGTCCGGTAGTTTATCAGATCTCTTGGTGTTGTTCTATATGAAATGAAGCAACCAAAAATTGTCTACTAAATTCATTTGCAAACTAATTGGATTTTAACGAGGAACTCAGCTGAATCTCCTCCTCCTAATGGGTAGTTTGGAGATAGAACGATATTTTTTCGACAAGACACTATCGGGCGTTAGCCCGACACTACCAGCGTTAGCCATGACTGGTATATATATATGATATATATGATATACGACATATATATATATGACATGCGTGATGTAGTTAGGGGCTAGCCGCCAGAAGCAATTAAGAGTGAAGTGCGAAGCAGCGCTTGATGACTAAATTGAGTAACAAGTCACACGAAATCCCTTGCGGAACAAATCGTAAAGAAGAATGTTTGCTTTGTTGAGCCCAAATGAGGAATCCTTCAAATTGCTACCAAAAATTTGGATCATGGTTAGTTATCTTAAGCGTCACCGGGGCTATGTTTGCTATGAATTTTGATAGTTTTTTTTCAGTTTCGTAAGAAATCTTTTTTAAAGTTTGACATTATGAAGTTTAAATTCTATGGTTTCTAAAGTCGCGGCTGGCGAAACTTACAGTCCGAAATTCAAACAAGATTGTTTATTTCGTTAATGCTTTGATTTTCAGAATTGAGTCAAAAGCCGAAGGTGGAATACCCCAAAAAAGTTCTCTTTATCCGCTTGTACAATCAGGAAATGTCACTTGCCCTCACCTCTCTTTGTTCACCGATATCCCTACCCTGGCACTTCCAGCCCTGCAACCAGGAGTAGCTGGAACATTTGGATGCCGCTTATGAGACCGATATGCCTCATCAACCACTGCATTTCGGTCCCACTGCAAATTGATCTCAGATGTTGTTTCAATCCTCAAAGTCCTTTATTCTTACAATTCTTTTGCATTTAAAGTATAACGATTCAAACAGCGCTAAAACATCTGTTGGTGAACACAAAAATCCTCAGAATCCTGAAACATATATTAAATACGATTAATATGTTAGGTGTACATTAACTTTTAACGTCATCATACATAAAAGAAAGTAACATTTGAACTTTTTCATAATGCTTGGTTGTGCGGTTAAACTAGCAAGTGGTTGGAAGATAACACACCAGGTGAAAGCGTATATATATATATATATATATATATACGCTTTCACCTGGTGTGTTATCTTCCAACCACTTGCTAGTTTAAACAGCTTTGCGCCAAACAGTTCAATGTAGTCGAAACAACCTATCAATGAACTACCAATCAGTAATTCTTATGACGACATATTCTGTTTTTCCGTGTAAGGTCTTTCGCCCTTACAGTTGACAAAGGAGACATGGAAAAAAAGCCAGCTAAACTTCACACCCCATCATTTCAGATGTCGTACGCTTAGCTTTAAATAAATAATAGCAGAACCAGGAAAATAAATTAGCTGGAGCTGTTCTCAGCCAAAACGACCATGGTCGAATCGGCTAATTCTTGGTTTGGTTAATCTTATGCAAACCTCTTCTGCTGTTCACAGATGCTAACTTTTGGTGATGGCTCTGAATCTGCTCGGAAAGTCAGCTGTCGTTAAGAGCCTAACTGGCACTGCACAGTTTTCCGAAAATCTTATTCACTCACCCACGGAAAGCACATAAAAACAGCATTTTACACGGTACTGGGTGGCCTGAAGTGGTTTTCTCGGATAGCCGGAAATAACCTGGGTCCACGTAAATCAAGAATTCACCCCAAGTTTCGTCACGAACAACCGACTTCATAAATTTTCTACAGTCCCTTTCACATTTGGTTGTAGGCTGTTCTCCTTCGAACTCACTCCTTAAATGGCCTGTTAGTTATCATAAAGGGAAAAACTCACAAGGTTGCTGAAAACTCTTCGACAGCTCACTACCGGTTTCGTCCTTCCTGGGGCTCATCAGGTAGGCACAGTCCCCGAGTTTCTGTCAACCTTACGGTCTACTTGTGAAAACCAAATTGATTTGCAAGTGGGTGTATTTCTCGAAAACAGTTTAATTTGGGTCCAAATAGAACGTAAGGTTGACAGGAACTCGGGAACTTCGCCTAACTGATGAGCCCCATGAATGGCGAAACCGGTCATGGGCTGTCGAAGTTTTCAGCAAACTCGTGGGTAGTTTCCTCTATAAAAATATACTGCGATGTCTCGAATACTGTGCCAAATGAATCATGAGGCGGCCTATGTGCAGCACATTTAGTTGTAGAATATCCTAAACGAGAGATTCAGTGGAGGCTCTCGTGAAGACCAAGTCGATTTGCAAACGAGTGTATTTCTCGGCCTGTTAGTTTATTCTATTCAGTATCCTATTTGACAGAATTTATCCTAGCTTCGCAAACTGAAAGTAGTTTTGGAGCAAATGGATTCTTCTATTCAATGCATCAAACGGACAACAATACGTCAAATGGCAGAATTAAACTTACTTTGTGTGGTTTGAGTTTAGTAGAGAAATTTTTGTGTGCAACTCTTCAAGTTCCTCCAGTCGCATGGCTCGAATAATTTCGGTCAAATGATAAAATTGTTTTGCCTGTTCAGTCACATCCAAGTTATCCAGTTCAATAAATAATTCCACAATTTCTTGGAGTCTGAACCGATCATAGTTGCTGCTGGTGGCGGTAGGATTCGCGAAGAACATTGAGCTTTCGTGACTACCCTCTGCCAAAAGAAGATTTTACAGAAAAAAATGAGCATAGGGAAACATGACCATCCTATTTGCATACTTTGAGTATTTATATCGTTAACTGGTGTGTGAGTTGTATTATGGTCAGTGACTTTGACCTACCTGCCCTCGTAGAAGGCTTCTTTTGGTAATCGACTCGTGCCTTCTGGCTCACGTGAACTGAAAACTTTGAAACCAATAGAAACTAACAGACAGACTGAATGACTGCAAATTAACACTGTACTGCAAGCGTACTTCAGTATTATATTGACTTCCTCGGCCTAGTGTAATCCTGACGAGTTCACTCTTTTGCATCCAGTAAAGAATCCATACTTTATATATATATATATATATATATATGCCCTTCTCCAGACTGGCCGAACTACTCCCATAGACAAGCGAACAAATGGTACTGGCATATACAGCATTGGCCTAGCCGAATATGCATCCATTTTCACGTCCTATTCCCTGGATGGACATATGAGAAATGAGGTCAGAGAGTGACTGGTACAGATGGAATCAGCCTAGAAGATGACTGAAAGCATATTAGCAAGAAGCTGAACCCAGAATACATCCGCATGGGACTCTTTATTTGGTCACGATTCAACTCAACCCCGTCCACATAATGATGGCGATTGAATGTAACTTTTAGAACCATCGCCAGCTTAGCACACCAAAGTTCTGTGTGCGAAGTCATTTTCTCAGGCCTTGGTTCATGCTAATGCTTACTTATGTCACCGTCACAGGCCCAAATATCTGGAAACCTAATGAAGCTAAAGGAAATCTGACAATTTCAATCTATCGGAGGACTTTTTATTGACGAATCAATGTGTGTAAGCTGGTGGCCGACCAATCAGATGCGATTATCTCAGACATGATCGCAATCTCTGTTGAGCCAACTTGGTTTGGATAGTGTGAAGTATAGGAAAAGTCCTGTTCTCATCCACCTGCGCCAGAAGTGCATCTCAGTAGTTGAAAACTCTTTAAGTAGAAGCTGCAGTTAAACATATCAGTGTGCAAACAGTAACTGGCGACTTGTAGTCTCAGGTGTGTGAACCTTTGGGTAATGAACCAGATTTTTTACAGCAAAACACCTTTTATTGAATACACGTCCGTCAGACTGGTAGTCAAATTATATACTAGCACTTTCATTCAAGAAAACTGCACATAAGATGGCTGCTAAGGGCTGAAGAGGGCGGGAACTCATCTGGACCTCCTTTCAAATCACTAGGGGTTCAAAAGCCATCGAAACTGATCCAGTGGACTGTATCTTTACGCGCATTCCGTTATACTAGATTTGAGTGAGTTTTGACGACATTTGGCTAAGCGTCGTTTTTGGAGACAGCTGTTCACGACGGATTCGAATGCCTTCAAGAGGTGTCATGAATAAAATATCAGGTCCATTGTTCTGCGGTCAGCGCGGATCCAACATTCTTCTTTGGGTGTGCTTCGATTACTTCTGCTGTTCGGCGGCTGAGTAACACTCGTTTAGTTGCCAGGACTGACACGAATGAAACACCCTACCAGATCATGTTTACCCGTTGAAGAAATGCATCCGCCATAGCCTGATAATCATATCTGAACACTGCTGCAAACATACTTTCTCTAGCTGTCTTTTCATTTCGAAATTACATTTTTCCTGCCGCATTTCTTCAACACTCAAGAGAAAGCCGAGGGACATTTCCAGCTCTCGTCGAGGAAGTCCATCCTTAGCAGTCCTTTGAAGGTTGCTCGGTTGATTCAGTAGTTTGTCGAGACACTAATGACATATCCACTATTCCGCAAATGATTTCTGCTTCAGTCACGTGTCAGCGTCCGGGACAGTTGGAATCCATGGATCATGTTCAGGAAATCGTAAAATTCCATGTGCCGTTACCGATCAGCTTAAAATTGGGTATGCTAACTTTGCTATCTCTAACATCTAGCCTTAATAGATTGGTGTGCTGATACATTTCGTTTCGATCATTGACGTTTCGAACCGAAGTTTCTGGAGCTCAATATCCGGATGGGTGGGGTGTACGGCAGGCGCTTTGGTTTCATTATACCGTATGCTTTGTATGATTGTTCTCACCTTTTGCGTGTTTGTTCAAACTACCGACTGATCAACTTGGAGCCTCAAGTTATGCGAAGTTGATGAACTGAAGATCACTTGTATTACTACTTTGCAGTTAACTACTTTGGTGTCTAGTTCACTAAATTTAAGATGTGGTATTAGTAGAAGAACATGTTATTGATTAATCTGCTCATGTGATTTTCCATACCATGTTAGTATACTATCTCCGTACATATTAAAATCCATCTCATCTGTTTCATGGAGTTTAAGTTCCCATGGTGAACGCTCAGCGCACTTGCCTCGGTTTACTTTGGTTAAGGATAGTGAACCTCCGCTTGCTTAGGATGGCCAATAACTTTCAACACGCAGATATCATTACAGACACATATTCAGACTTAGTGGTAACTTATTCAGGAGTTACATATATCTGAGAATTTCCAACGAGAAAAGGTGCGGTAAAGATGCAAACTAGTGACTTGTTCGTAATGAAATTGAAAATTTATATGGATTTTATATGATTTTCAACGAAGTTTTGAGGGAGTTTTCTTTTTTTCGACGACGACACCATCTGTTAACCATCAGAACCTGCTTTCTCATCTCCATTGCAGCGAATGTAGGAATAAGGTTTATCTGAATCTTGCCAACCTCAGGTTTTTAGTTTGGTTTTTGGCACTTCTTGTAAATGTCTTCAACTAAGTCTTGAGACAATTGCGCTTAAGGCTCAGTAGCGATCCAGAAGTGACCTGGTTGGCCACGGTGGTGTCCTGCACTATGCGTGAAACAAACAGCGTTGTGCATCGGTCAGAACATGCTGAAGGAAGGAAGTTGTATTGAAGTTCTTTAGGATTTTCACGATCTAAACTGAAATTTATATTGAAAGATTCTCAAGAAACAGATCCAGAAGTTTTGATCCGATAGAATTTTGTCAATCTGGAGCAATATTTCTGCACATGCAATATTCCCAACTAGCGAGAGCAAACTTCAAGATTTCCGCTTTATTATGAAAACCGCTTGGCAAAATCTATCCAATGCAACTGGAACAAAACATTGCACACTCGACAGTATACTTTGGAAACATATTTTTAGTTCGCTTGATCTTACCTGTTTTGAAAACACTGCTTTTTTCTGACTGACTTTTCCGAACAAGCCGGATTTCGGTGATTGTTCTCACCACAACGGACTGCGAATTTTGCATCAGACTGGAAGATGTTATGTTCAGTGCCTCGTTACAACTGGTTCGTTGTATTTCTTGGGTCGGTTTCAGCTGAATTTCGCACTGCATTATACCCGTAACGTGCGGTAGTTTACTTGATTGCTTCGCACACAATAAAATAAAATGGACATTTTAGTTGAAAGAGATCATTGTAAATATTCTGATTTTTGAAGCATAACTATGTCAGCATTGAGATAACTTTAGCTAAGCTTGCGATGCAATACGAAAAACACATTTCTTCACATCCGTTTTATAAAAACGTTTTACTTATATGTGTGTGTTTTCGTTATTGCGTGACAAGAAATCTCGTGCGAAATCGTACTACAGAATGCACCACACTAAATCATACATATTGTTTCCTGCTTTACTTATATTCATCGCTATCGTTGCAAGTGCACTTGTTTTGGAAAACAATATAATTTTTCAACGGACAGTCAAAAAGGTGCCTTGGAAAGTATGTGCCAAACATTCGAGGACGCCTTCTTTTCAACTCGTGGTGCCTCCCAGAAAGTTTTATAAGAAGCATAGAAGTGAACTATTTTAAATGGGTCTGTCAGCAAAGTAAATAAAAGAACGGCTGGACGAACAATATTGAAAATAGTCAGGTCAATACGAATACACCGCGGTTTGATATTCCCATTTGCAGCAAGACCCAGAAATATGCCCGACGCACAGCCTGATTACGTCAGCCAATGGACAACAGGTGCACACCACACACGCTGCATTAGCGAAGGGTATGTGGATGGGAATGCGGGTCTGAATTAAACCAGTTTATCGATTACCTATGCCTGTCGCGAGGGCCCGCTCTTCATTACAGTTCGATGAGTGACTATACGACTGCACCAATAAAATTGCTACTCTACATCCGCGGCTACAAATATTATCCAATGGTCAATACATAAGTGACCTATTTATGGGATTACCTGGAACTATACTACAAAGTGGAAATGCCTCAGAGGTAACGTTTGAAGATCTCTAAAAGTGATGATAACAACAAGTAAAAATGCAACAACTCACCGTAGGCGCATCAATTTCGTAGTTTGCCAGAGGAGACTGGAATACATATTTGTCTGTGCAACCGGTAGTGTACTTTGTTTTCATGATGGTCACGCTCTTCGTTTCTTCTTTGACAGGGTGAAATTCCGTGAGACATCGTCCGGAGATATCACTCTAGAATGCATGTGAAGCGGAGAAAAACTGTGAATTTATAAGAGGAAGCGTAAAAGTAACGTAATTCGTAAAAAGTGACGAGTGTTTCGCTGAAGATAAACCTGAACAAGGATATTGGTTGTGACGAATTACTTCTATTTGAGGAACGACTTTGTGCAAGGTTTTTGAAACATTCAGCCCAAAAGCCAAAATATTCTAACCAGAAACCTATTTGATGAGATACAGTTAATAAACGACAGAGTATTAAGAAATGCCGATAGTAAAGCTCGAGCCTCAGTTTGAAACCTCCTAACACTCTGAGTAAATCAGATTTCTTCTATGAGAAAATAACATCATTTGCACCTACGATAGGTTGATCAACAGTGTTGTGTCCCCGAAGTGTTTAGCATTTTACCATGTCAGCAGTACGGATGAAAGGAAGAAGGCCTTCGCTGCGGACATATTTATTAGGAACTGCCAACTAGACCGGCTACAGACCATTGAACAAGGAAGCAAAACTCTAGTTTGCATCTTATTTACAAAAACTGGACACCAATCTTCTCCCGAACGCGTCTTCTTGAACTTTCCTGGAGATTCATTGACTCCACTCGTTCATCGGTCAAATCCAAGCAAATGTTACAAAGTGGCTCCACAAATTCCGCAGCAAATCTCCCCTCTTCAAAAGACACAAAGCGAAATTTGATGAACAACACATACTACTCGCGCGCCTCCCCATCAGTAGTATCACCGTTACACGGATAAGGCGACTAATTTCACTGTTTGGCTTCCGCTCTAACGAACTGCTGCAGCAGATAGCTTGCACTTTTAAGTTGCGGGAATTGAAGTGAATCGAAACGTAACTATCTGTGCCTCAGTCAACCGTCCCAACCCTGCTGCGGCCCATCTTGCCGTGACACCCAGGCCACATTGAAGTTAGATATAAAAGTCAAGACGTGGCAGCACGCATTATTGAGCGTCCAAACGCCACATCCCTTCAGCACAGAGTATACATTAAGTAGTCACTGGCTGTACATTGCTTCTCGGTATTTCTGACTAGACTGTGAAGAGTTGATTACAAGACAAAGTGTCCAATCAGAATACTCAAAATCTTAGAATGCTAGCATTTCTTCTGCATGAGCCTTCCTCAAAACTACGACTTTGCTTTTTCGAGGCTGGAAGAACAGCACGTTCTAGTTTAGATTAGCGTCATTAATGCCATCAATGTCAAGAAGTCAATTCTAGAGTGTCGTATAAAGTAAATTCCGTATTGCAGTTGTCAGAGATGGGAATCAACCACCCCATGGTTGACTATCACAAAAAATATTTTGTCTGGTAAAGAATCACATTTTGTGTAAATATATCACCACCAGAAACATTAGATGAAACGTGTTTGACGTACTTTGTTAGTCAAGCGGCCTCATGGAGCCATCGTAATTAGCCCTAAATGAGATTGCTCTGATAGACGCTGATGTATCCAAGGTTACTGCTCTCATAATTACAAACCTATTGGATGAACATGCTGATAAGAATTTCGATACGGTCTTGGAAAATACGAGTCTTTACTCTTGGTTATGATCAGATACTTTGGAGTAACCTATGACGAAATTTCTGTCTTACATCAGGGCAAATGACGTAAGAGTCACCAAGGAACCAAGCCCTTTTGCAAGGCTGAAGAATGAAGAGCATCATGTTCCAAAAGTCACAACAGAATTATGCGACACCATAGGCCACAAGCTACCGGAAGATTTTGTCCGATTATCAGGGTAAACTTCAAGTAGTGTCAATTACGGCTTCTGATCAGGTGAAAGTTGATCTTTTCGCCGAGCTTGCAAACATTTTGTCGCCAAACGAGACGACAAACTTGATGCGCGGTTGAATGGACCTTCTGGTGACAGTATTTATGCACCATGAGATCGATTTCGAGATGAGCGTAATCTTGTGCAATTCTAAAGAGGTGCATTGTGTTTGGATTCGATAAGCTTAGAGACACTTGAGCCTGCTGCTATCCATTATGGAGCCAATGATGTCATTCTCCAAAGTGAATTTGGGGCTTAGCAAAAAAACTATACTGCTTAGGTTCAAACATTTCTTCAGGTGCTCTGGTATTTTATCTCTGAACTGGGAAAGATAGCTCACCAGTGGTAAGGCGTGATTGTGGAATTCACGAAACTTTATTTATGCTATCAGTCGTTCGAGTGGGAAATAACACCGCGATTTGGGTCATTCTAAGAAAAAATCCCTTTCACAGGGGAAAAACTTTAGGACCAAATGACAAGCCATTGTATCTGAAAGGTTGCTTAAAATGTATTCATAGCTAGGCAAAACGTGTTTCACGAAAGTAACTTCGTCATTCCAAAGGCGGTTACTGCTTTGGACATGTCTTAAGGCAGACGGAAAACTAATCGGTAAAATCTCCTTAGACAGCCGCGCTAGACAAGCACTGACCTTCGGTTGAAAGGTCTCATCGTTTAGCCGGTGTGCCTGACTTTCACGGATTGAAGGATCCACGACCACTTTAGTCAGATTTGGATCATTTTGCCTCCGGTTAAGACTGCTCCATTCGATAATTCCTATTTGACGTTATTTGCAAATCTTTTTGGGTTCTCTATTGTAACGACAGTCTATTTAGGAGGTGCCAAGAATCACTTTGACTTCTGGCCGGCTTTGGGTTACATGCTTCAGACCCAACCCACTTTTTGATGCTTCCTCTTTGCTGATAAGTGCACACAACCACTTGTCAGTTCGACTGATGTAGAACCACTCCCTACATCTCCACTAGTTCTGCGCCTTCTACCGTAGTCGCACAGAGGCGTCCGGCAAATTGCATGGCCTCGGCCGTGGGACTGGATGACATGCTTGAGAAGACCTATATAGACACGTTATGTACGCTAGGGTCTCGCGTCTTCATCGCGTGTCTGCTACAGTTGGCAGTACTGGACGGTCCTGAAACATTGCAATCACATCTAATTTACTTAACAGTCGTGATCAGACGGAAGCCATTTTGTCACAGCCCCCTCTGTTATTACGCCAGCAACCGAAAAAAAGCATTATGTGGGTCTGTAATTCGGGTTCATGAATGAAGGCATATTCGTAAAGGTCGCCGGTCATATGTGCTTAGTGGTCTAAATTTGGCTTTAGACTTGACCCTCCTAGAATTACTTTTTTCTCGGCTTGAAGTTTGGTGAGAACCTATTAGATCCAAACCGAGTTGGAGCATCTGTTTTCGCAGACAATGATTGGCGGCCGTTTCCGATGGGGCTGCGGACAGATTCGAATCCGATCCGGTCGGTATATGATCTCAGTGCAGACGGTGCAAGCAAGTAACTAGACGTTCTGCTAGCAATCCTCACAGACTGACTTATGAGCAGTTTAGAAAGAACACGGTAATCGTCGTCTCAAGACCAGATAAAGGAGAGCGTGGAGACACTGATGAACAGAAAGAACCATAAAGACAAGCCGGAATCAACCCGATGTTAAAACACTAAGTCCCAGTTACAGATGGAGGAGAAAGAAAAAAGCAGTATCAGAAAGGCAATTGACAGATTTGAGCAGAGAAAGAACAGTTTTCATAACAGGGGAGATTGAATTCAGCTATTTCGCGCACCTCGCACGTTACGTACCGGAGAGTAGCATATACGGATCAAATACTGAAATACAAAGGTTATCATCTAGTAAACTGCAAGGTGAGCAACGTCCAAACCCCGATCAAAAGAGCGAAGACACACTGCAGCACCGCGGAATTGCGGGAGAAAGAAGATAACTACTTATTCAGAATGTTCCAAAATAATGGATATCCAAGAAATTTCGTCAAGAGGAGCTTGAAAAAGAAGACATCTCAACAACAACAACAACAGCAAGAACAAGCCGCTAGACGGGTAGTTCTTTCTTACGTCAAGAATATACCAGTACTCCCGGCCAGATTGTTAGCTCAGAAAGAGATCCTCGTAACCCATAAACAAAATGCCAATTTAAGGAAAATGGTCTGAAGATCGGAGGACAAACATGACACAACCAGGACAAACAATGTGTTGTACCAAACCAACTGCGGCGACTGCAATAAGAACTATTTTGTATTAAATGGGAGGAAATTACACGCTCAGGAGACATGGTGCCTTCCTCATAATATTCATACACGAAGACAATTCAGTCTGGAAAAGGCAAAATTTTTGGCACACGGAGACACAGAAAGGAAGTTCTGGAAGCATGGTACTCCACGGCGGGTTCGATCAACCGACGCATTGAACCAGATCCAATTTACGCACCACTACTTGCAAAGGAATAACATCTCAACCGGAACACTCAGGAACAACCGAATATGGGATTCACAAACCAGGAAACAAGCAACCACTTGAAATCGGATCAACAGAAGTCACAAGCCAGAACCTAGAGGGGACAAGGACAGAGGTCACTACAGCATCGACCAAAGTACGAAAGTAGGTAAGGCCAAGATCAAAGGCCACGTGGTTATCGATCAATCAGGACGTGGGGTACCAGAGCATCTAACGTAACTGCCTGGCCGAACGGATATTGACACAAACACAACACTACTGCACGTACAACCACCGACTCATTGCAACGCCCCACAGGGCTCCCTAACAACGCACTGATGATGTGACCTCGATTAGTGATGACATGTTTGCAATCAAACCACCCATCTCAGGGAAAAAACAAACGTCTACGCTACCTGAGCTACCAACATTATCCTCTATGGAGAAAGGTCAAACAACTTGGCATTTATCCAAACAAATCTAAACCTACTAGGGTTTTTCCAAGGGCAATAACGTGCTTGTGACAGCCCGATTCTAGCCCATCTGTGAGGATATTACCATAGTTTATAAAGTTGGTAATGAAGTTCTATCAAGGCTGTTAAGGTCAACTCGATCTAGAGTTTTAGCCTCTGCGGGGGCCATTAGGCTTACATATTTACGAGACCCAAATTTGTATTAAAAAACACCTACGAATGATGACACTCACGAGGCAAAAAAATAACGTCTGAATCCCAAAGCTTGAATCTCAAAGCATGTCATTCCTGACGAACACTTTGAAACTTTATTACTGCTTTTTAGCTTGACAGCTACCAGTGAAAGGAAGAAGGCTTTCCCTGTGGAGTTATTTATTAGAAAATGCAGACTGAATAGTTACAGACTATTGGACAAGGAAACAAAACTCTCATATGCATCTTGTTTACAAAAACTGAGTATCCATCCTCTCATTTAACGCGTCTTCCCGAACTTTTCTATTTATTCATTGACTGTTGTTCAAATCCAAGCAAATACCACAAAGCGACTCCACAAATTCGGTACCAGATCTCACTTTTTAAGAGACGCAAAGCGGTTTACGAGAACACAAAGCGACTCCACAAATTCGGTACCAGATCTCACTTTTTAAGAGACGCAAAGCGGGTTTACGAGAAAACGTATTCGCATGCCCCCCCATCAGTAGTATCACCGTTACACCAGTTGAGTTTGTCCAATATGTATTTCTGACCCAGCAAAAACAGACATCAAAAGGATTAACTTCCCTTAGACTTAAATGATCATAATACACGAGTATGTCGGAGAGGAACCGTGTAGACAAAGTCGAGCAATAGTTACTGGCAAACACAACCACCATAATCATCAGGGTTTGATGGATGAGGCAGGCTGATGGAGCTCAGTCACTCAATCTCACAAATGTGCTGTCATCGGGATGTATGCAGTTATTCGCTTTTTGCCATTATGGTTGATCAAGTGGTCGTTGGTCTTTTCGCACGGTTTAGCAGAATGGCGTCAGAATTGTGGCGAAACCTAAACAAACTAATTTTGCAGATCGACAGACAGATCAGCAGTCAGCTGATTGACCAATGAAAGGCCGTGAACTACTGCTATTACAGTACATTGCCCCGTGATGATCGAGACCCAAGGGCTGGAACTTTTACAAACCTAGTTTATTCGTTATTCATGCAGTTATCCGTTGTTACTAACACATCATGTGGTGAAATTCAGCTGGGAATCTCTGAGACAGCATTTTCTATTGCGAAATTTGAGGAAGTTCGAACACCCTCTCAGGCACCCTTGGTGTACCTTTACCAACAATAATTTAGGGCAAATCTAATGTGAACTTCCAACAAACGAGTGATCCAAGCTTTGTGATGGCCATCCGTTTTCCTCATTGATAATTTCCGGAAGTAAAGTAGGGCGGTCGCGTTCATATCCACTAAAAGACTGGCGAGACTATTGCTAATGGTGTTTTCCATGTTGTGTCCTTGCTGTTTCACATAATTTACTCTGTTGCAACTAAATGAATATTGCACTGTGATAATTACATAGTAGTGCGCTTTTGTACAGTGGACTGTCCTTTGCCAAAATCCGACACCTATGGCACCTGCTAAATGTCGCTTTGTCAGCTAAGGGCGGAATCTACAATTCGGGAATGCGATTTACACTGTTTTATGGATCAGAAACGTAACTTCCACGCGCAAAGGCATGAAAAAAATGTTGAAGTTTGATAATCGGTGTCCCAAAGACATTGGTCTCGCCTGGCGAAGCCATCGGATTAGCCATGCTGCGGTACGTCAAATGGTTTTCGGAAGAAAGAATTCTCCTGCGTCAGATGAATTTCTCATTCTTCATAGACTATGCTGGTTAAGGCATGGGTATGCATGCCAGAAGGCCGTCTGCCTCCCATGGTTCATTTTCTTAACCTTGTGTTGAGTAGTAGTGAAAATATGTTGACATTTTATGACCTGGTAATTAGGCATGGAAACACCAACAAGTAAACTTAGTCGGGTTGGCAACTATGGCGCCTCTCGATGGGTGCTTTTGGACCAAACTCACCAGCAGTTTATGGCGTTGGCAGGAGTTGCTCAGTCACGTAGTCTTCGAAATAACCAAAAGTGCCACCGCCAACAAGACTTGACATGTATATTCAACACTGTCCCGTTTTCCGGTGATCGAAAATGCAGCAACTAAAACCGATATTCCCACAGGACATGGTTTCTAACCGGAAATTGCTTGAATTGATTGGTAAAGTTACTTTCTGAGTGGATGCTCTACGGACTAAGCTTCCAGTGACCTTCGCTCTCTGCAGACCTATTTCCCGATGGATTCATCACACCTGTGCCTAATGGTGACCAGCACTCATCAGCACAATAAGTGGACCTCTGAGCCGGTATGAGAGAGAGACACTGACACCGTTCAGATGTACAGTATCTCGAAGTAAACTGCTAAAATTACACGAGCAACTGATGGATCTTGAAATGAAAAGTTGAGTGCTGCGTAGCATGTCCGTCTCCCATAAGAATCTTTCATTTTATCATATGTGTACTTGGATTTCGCACCTCAAGATTCCACAAATCTTCCTCTGTTTTCTAAGAATAATCACAATTTAACATTCCATGAAAAAACTTGTTTCGAACGATAAGGAGTCGTGAGCGTCCACTGCCTCACCTCAACCGCTGGCCACCACAAAAATTAAGCCTGATACTTGATCCATACCAAGGATGTTGACTCCAAGTGATGTTGTTGGCAAATTTCCCCTTGGAACAAATAATCACTATGCAAGTGGATGATCATCGTATTTTAAACCATTTACAGAAACTCACCTCGGTGGTGTAGGTGGGGAGCTCCAGGCTATCAATCGATAGTTGCAAATGTGACAAGATGGCACGTTTCAAATTCGAAAGCTGCGTGCTGTCCGCATCATCCATCCAAACCTTTTGTATCCGTCCATTATCGTAGCAAAACTGCACGACTTTGTCGCTGGCGTAATTCAATGGTGAAGCATACTGGACGTCTTCGCCTTCATAACTGACTTGTGATTGTTCACGCACATCCGTGAGCTGCATGGTCAGTAAACCAATGATTTATTAATGCAGATTCAAAACCAGGAGAAGAAAAAAGACTTCATTGATATCATAGGAAACCATTTCAACAAAAAAACTACATTTGTGGTGTGCAAGTACGAGGATAAGCTGAGGAAAACTGGTTCAAATCAACTTGAATGAAATTTTGTCTGAGGTCAGTCCGTCTTTCAAATTATGCCCAGTACATTTTCAGTCGTATCCTCTATCCCTCAACCTCCAACTATTTTGATTTTTGTATACAGTGAATGAATTTGTTTGAAGATGTGGCTAACAACTTCTTGTTAAGCTTTTTGGACGTTCTGAACCACTTCGTTGCTGTAGGCTTTTGGACAATAATTTAATCTTTACCCGAATGACATGAATAACATCCAAAAAAATCTGTCAGAAAACTCATTTGGAGAGGTGAGTATTTTAGAGAACGTAATTAAACCATGAATGGGAGAACCAAATCAGTAAAGTTTCCCTAAAGTCCGACCAGTTTCAGGGACGTACCCTCCCACCTTTGCTGTGGTAATCTGTCTAGCATGCTCATACTCCTTTTCTCAGTTAAAATAAGGTTAGTTTATAAAATTGTTACGGAAAATAACATGCTATTTATAACTTCCACCGGGATTAACATCTCATTTAAACAAAGTTCTTAGGATTCGTCTATTGGTGCATAAATAACAAATTTTTGAGTGGTGCAAATTACAGCTAGCATGATTTCCTATAAGAAAAACAGTTCCAGTCCAATTCATGAAATTCAATTAGTCAAAATCAGTTCATCGCAATTTCATTTCGACTATTTACAGTCCACTGACCTACACTTCACTGACGTCACTTGTCGAACTTCCAGTTTTTCCGTGACTACAGCGGAAGAGAATTAAAACTTTAATGTGCAAGCTCTCGCCATTCTTCATCAGTTCTCCAAGTGACGTCGCCACTAAAGATTGGAAGAATAACACGGTAAATTATCACCTTTACTTTTTAAACGATTCCGATTTGTAGGTAATATGCCATGAATGTCGGCGCAGTTATCTAAATACATGCCTCGATAATGGAGAGAGACCGTTGGAAGAAATCACATCAGAATAAACACAAAACTCAACGCACAGGTAAGCCATTCTGAAAAAAGTCGTTGCCAATAATACCAGTGAAGACAAGATTCAGTTGCAGCAATTACAGCATTTGATTTAACGCTATCCATGTTTGCAGGAGTTCTTCCCTTGCTGTGACGTATTTTTCCGGTTAATCCCCGCCAAAAAGTAAAAGAACCGAAATACAGTCCTGCTCTTATTACAGCTCACTAGCAGTATACTTGTTTGGTCGTGAACCTTGGATATCTAGCTTACGACTCGTAAGGAATTGTCATACAGCTTCCGGGTGTCCATGATACTATTTCACTGAAAATTTTCAACATGCGGGACGGTCAAAAGGCAGGGCAGTTCAACGTTCAACAAGCTGGGCTTGTCTATTCACACGCCCCAAGTATGAACAAGTTTTCCACTTCAGAGCTGAAAATTCATGGATTATAGGACGATTGGATGAGTAATGAGATGGGATGATGGTAATGAGCAGGTCAAGTACCTGGGGTTCGAATCCCAGCACGGTCAAGGAAATGCAATACGAATGTGACCCACCAAGAGCAAAGGCCCAATGCAGTGAAAGCATGATCGCAAAAGAAAGTACGGAATCGTAAAATCGCTGAAGTAACTTGCGCGTACAAGTGCCTCACACGGCATCTATCCAGTTAGACCACGGCTTTATCCAAATTATCTGCGTGACTTAACTCTGCTAGTAACGCTCCTGGAAACTGCTTAGATGCGCACTGCTGTTGGCTGCCAATAAGTTTGAAACAGCTTCACGGCTTCTGTTGTAGACTGACTCCGCTTGCGGGAAGAACTTTCGATCAAGATTGCTAGCGAAATTATAGCAGTGGTTTTTATGTTTGGCAAAGCAGACACATGGTTGTGATCCCATAGTGTCACCGAGAACATAAAACAACGAACATCTATCTTTTGAGGCAGCTCATCATCAGGCCAAAACGTATCTAGCAGCCAAAGTGAGGGACTGATATTGGTTGACTGGCTGAAATAAAGGAGGACTAACATGGCACAGCTGAAATGATAGACAAACAAAATCTCCTCTAATAAAGCAGATGCTGGTTTGAAGTTCTGTGGGGTGATTGGGTAACTTAGCGTACGCTACATGACCAAGATGAATTTAAAGTTCGTACCAACCACAGTATAATGCTGGGTCACGCAGAAGTATTTTGAGTGCCTTAGCTGTTGTCAGGCTACATTCCTCGGGTCGATATCGCCAACCTACGGGGCACTCTGCGAACCACTTGATCATTTTTCATCATGTGACTTTCCCAACGACATGTGACGTGATCGAAATTTTTACCGAGGTTGTAGGTCTACTAGTATTTCGACATGACAAGTGCTCGCACGTCCTCTTGCCAAGTTGTTCTGCCATACACCATTCTGATTTACAAATTCACTGTGGGGTTGGATCCTTACCTTGTCCTTAAAGTTAACACTTGGTAGTGGTTTCGTCTGAACCAAGACCTTCGTGTTACTGCCGGGAAATTTTTCTCTCTGGCTCTTGTAAGGTTGCCTTCTTTGTAACGATCTCTAATGTTTGTTTAAGAGGTCCTGGAACCCTTGGTTACGAATCAGTTTAGGCAACCAATGGCACTTAGTTCATCAGCCTGTAGTTCAAGCCAGCTTATTCTGCGTCATCAGGGCGAATCCGTCCAGCTCGGTTCGCTAAGTTGATTGTCTGAATTCTCCTTTGTATGAATAACACGAGACCATAGAATTTTGTGCACAGCCCACTTCACTTGGGATTTTGTAAACAGACTTCTGTAACTAAGCTGCTGATAATTCAAAAGATCGATATTCAATAAGTGAAAATGATTCAACTTCAGTAGTGTGCAGAATGGTCGGATTGACTTGGTTGAAAGTACGCAAGATGACGGAAAATTTTGGGAAAACTTGTTACGAGGATGAAACTGACATCTAAGCAGAGGTGACGAAACTAGGTGTTTAGTACCATCGTCCGATTTGTCGCTCATAAAAACGTCATTCAGCAGGGGAACAAGTGGTGAGCTCGTAGTTGAACGGATTGATAAATGGCTGCAGTTTTTCCGTCTACAACACCTGCTTGTTGTTATTTTGTGAAGCTATCGGAAGATCTTAGCTACGAAGTACGGTGTCAAGTTTCAGGATTGAAAGACCAACAGAGGATTATCATGGACGATTTTTGTAAACATAATACGAATGTACAAGTCGTCTGGAATGATGGCACCAGATTTAGCCTTGTCAAACAGAAATGTGGACAACCAGCTACCTGTTCGAATTAGTGTAGGGACGTGCGATCCATTTGCATGGTCATATCTACCGTGAATGGAGTATAAACACTGTGCATGAGTTAGAGTATCCATCAGTTTGTGCGTCACCTACATTTGAGCTGCACGATCACCAAGCCCGCAACAGGCGTTCTTGTGCTAATCGATTAATTCTCATTGTGGACCTTTCTTGGTCTTCCGTAATCTCAGACTTCATATTGCTGATTCGACAAGATGGCAGCCGACCGTCACTGAGACATCTACGATACGTACATGGACGGTGGCTCAGATGCCCGCGTTCTCTATTAGGTCACCTCCGGATGCATACACGTGTTCGACGGGCTCGTGCATTTACTATCGTTGAACTATGACAAACAGAACCGTTCGAAACATGCTCGGCTTTGATCAGTGTATAAGAGATTTCCTTTTTGAAATAGATCCACTTCCACTCACTGATTTATTTGCTCCTGTATTGACAGCCGCATTGATCACACATCGGGGCGGCTTGCTGAACAGACATTGAACACATCCTGACAACACACCGTAAACGTTTTTGTTTGAGCCAACTGTCTGTGGATTCGACTTTAGATAATGAGGGAATTTTCTGGATATGGGGCTATAAATCTATAAACTCTAGACCTCCAATCAGGTAAGCTGAGGAGTTTTGACAATATTTAAAGCCAATCAATCTCAGCTTTAAAAAATTGCGTGTATTCACCTTCTCCCATGTGGGCAGATATTCATTTCTGATGTTCTCGTGGCTCTCAAGTATACTATTGGGTTGGATCTTTTTGTTAAAAGTCTGACGAAGGACAATTCGATTTTTCCTAGTTTTTATTGGCTTACATATGTTTTCACATGACCTTCATATGTGGATGAAGTAATGTTTGTCCCTTTTGTCTCGTTTTCAGCAGTACCACAGAAATTTCCTTGGTTTATTTGGCGAAACCATTTCACTAATCCTTTTAGAGGCACAGAGCAAGTGTTGGGCGTACACCACCAGTCTCATTTCAAAAACGTTTAATTTTTGAAAACTTTCGTCTTCCTTCGGTTACTCAATCTCACACATCTCTGTCCTGCATGTGAAACGGTTCTAAAGAAGTGGTTCGGCTTCGTTCCACAGACAGACCAGTGTTTAATTCGAACTTCCAGGAGAAACAGTTCAGCAGAAACCCTTTAGACACATTACTGAGGCAAACCGTTTCAAGTGTTAGCAAACAACGGTTCATTCCATGAAAGCTTCATTTGTTTACTGCAGAAATTACTTGTCTACCTCAATCACACTTGATGAAAGTCGAAATTGCTTTCGTTGAAAAAAAACAGTTTCGTATAAAAGCACACTCGAAGCGCGTGAAACGCTATCTCATGGTTAAACAAAGTGGCATTCTATCTGCCAAGAAAAAAACAATATTTTTCCAGTTTACCTTAATTTCTGCGAGACAAGGGGATATTGTAGTCAAATGAACCAGCCCGCTCTGCGTATTTTCAATTTGTTTGTCCGACAGACTTGGATGAACATAGTGCTTGATTGTGAAACCGTAGGTGTAAACGTGTTCAGCGGACAGATTCACAAAACTCGCTTTTCCTGAGGAAACAGAGGATGAAAAATAGACTGTTTTAACCCTAGCTCGTACACCATGGGGACAAAATATTTTTGCAAATTCTTAACTTTCCATTGATTTTGTTCCACATTATTCAATTTTCAATAAGGTGCCAAAATCTTGGACAGAAATGAAACATCCACGCTGTGAACATCGTGACATAAAAGTAAAACTCTGCTAACAAATATTTCCTCCAAGAGATTTCCCCACTGTTGAGTAACAGCACTTCTCGTCTTAAAGAACCATCAGGCGTAGGTCAGTTGTTGGTATATGCGCTGTCCTTTTGTTTACGGATTACTACAGGTTACGAGGATGAAGACTCTGTAAAAAACATTTCAACCTTAAAACCAAGATAGGTTTGATGTTTAATTCAGAACAGTGCTAGGTAGGAAACTTCGATCCCACCAAATACAGTACACTTCCATTAAGACACTACATTCGTGTTGCAATAGCCCCTACGCCGTTCTGTTCAACAACTCGATGTCGTGCACAACCTCCCTCATTTTCAATCAACACAGATTAGGCCAAAAAAAACAGCAATTCCCTCATGAAATAGATAAAAACTCTGGTGGGTTACTGCATTCACCTTGCAAACTAGATAAAATATCGGGGAGCCCACTTCCGATGATCTGCCACTAGGCACCCTCCAGAAAACTTATTCTTTCCAATACTGCAAATCTGAAAATATCTTTTGTTAGCAACTGTAATTTGTAGGAACGCCTCCCCTGGAACGGACACACTTGAAGTTCATTGGTTGTCAGTTGCTCAATCCTTTGTCACTGAAACTTACTCACCTAGTAAACGACAGCCTCTCATTGATCGTCAACTAAATAGAGTATTGCATGTATCAACCTTGCCCGGTGACTTGCCTATTTACTGAAGGAGATTTTCCCTTCATAAGGCGGAAAAGCATCAAAACTTTTCATGATAGCTTCCTGGAGGGCGTACAAATTCACACGCAAAACTGGTAATGATTTATTCATTTCATTTTCTCTCAATCTGGAGTTAGGATGATCAAGAGATTTTCAAACCCTGGCATGAAATCTGAGACGTTTCACGCCCACAGCTGACACCGATTTACGTGTATATATGCAGGGACACTGAGATTCCTGTCAGGTCATCGTAAGAGCTTCCATAATTTCCATCCACAAGCATGACAAAGCTGCAACAAATATTTTAAAATTATTATCCGGCCTTCTTGAACAGTTGAGAGTTCTCATAAGCCTGAAAAATGACAATACGACAGAATGACCCTCATCGCAAAACGAACGCTTGAAAGCATCGACCCGTCACCGACTCGGAACGCCTAGTAGAACAGAGCGATATAATGTGGTTGGAAGATTATCTGATAAGTTTAAAGATCATGTTGAATGTGAAATCTCTCAGCTGTTAAGTTTTTAAAACGATCGTATGACTGCTGGTGCTTTATCAGTCTTTTTTGTCTGGATAGTCATCAGTCCTTACGGGGGGTTGATAAATAGCATGTCATTGGCTTGGTTTGGAGATGTCGCTTTGGAGTCACGGGCATGGATAATTTTGCTTGTATTTGTTCTCGTTATTTCGACGCTGACCAATAGAACCAAGCAGATCCAGACACATACCCTCCGGGGGCCGCCTCCGATCCAACAAAACATTCCAACCATTCACTACTATTCAGCTTGTTGTCTAAAAAAATACCGGAGTCCCATTTGAAGTAATCTTCACATCTTATTGGCACTTAGTGCTGAATGGAATTCGTTTATTTGTTCTTAATGCATGATGCTTACTGGAATTAGTCGCTTCTTGAAAGAAATTGACCACAGGAATCTAACCCAGATTACTACCGGCAATGGTTTCCTATTTACCCCGCTTCCTCCATAAACTGAACTTTTGGAGGAGATAAGTGTGCGCGTTTTGTCCACTGACTTTTCTGAGGCTTTTCATCTTTCTAGAGAACAACACGAGAAAAATTCTGTAAACCGACTTCAGCACCAGTACCTTCTCGTTTTTTAGTTATAAAGGCCACTCGATGGCACTAGAAAGCTGCATTGCGAAAATTATTCTGGACCTACTTTCCCAATGTGCTCCATCAAAAGTGGAACATTTTGGCGTGAACAAGGTCAGTTTCCTCCCAATTTGCACTCGTTAATCCTCAGGTACTCAAAATGTCCTGTCACATTTCTTGTCCGTTGTTGGTGTAAATGTATGCAAATGAGTTTTTCTCTCCAACGTTTTCGGTCTCAGCAATGAATTGCATTCAGACTTTCCTGTCTGCGAAGGCACGTTATCCTCTTTTTCCAGAAATAGGCATCTGTTGAGATCTACATTTCTTTCGTTTCCATATCCGAGATTATGTGAAAAACTCACTCGTTTGGGAACTGCGTACAAATGTATTTAAATTTCTCTGAATGCACACACAGTGTTCTTGTGTGTCGTAAACTCGTTTCTCTAAAGTAAGTATAGATACATTTTTGTGCAAAGTACGATCTAAAGAGGAATCTTGGGCACTTTCGGGCTGCCAAACAATTTTCCTCTTGTAGGTAATACGCTTAGGTACAAATTTGGCTTTTAGGCAAGTTAACCACAAAGGACGGATTGTAATCGAGACTAAAATATCCTTTCCGTAAAGTTTCATAAATAGATTCTAGTTGCAACAATCAAAATTCGTCACATGCCTCAGTCTCAAGAATTTTAGTGCAATCAGCAAGTCTGTAAGTAGCGCAGTATGAAACTTCTGTCTGAAAAGTTTTGAGTGAAAGAGGCGATCAACACGTGACTAGGCGACATGGCTTCTCTGACTGAAGGATAGGTGGCGCTATATCCTGTGAAAGTTTTCCTCATTCGTACTGCTGATCACTCGTTTGTGACCAAACGGTTAACTGTTTATACTAGTAGCTAGGAGGTCGCCGGTTCGAAACTTCCTGGGATTTCGTGAGGTACGCACTGCTGATATTTCCCAATAAGGATAAAACAGCTGTGCATCGTATCTTGGCTTTTGAACATAGATTGGCTCTCAAATATCGTAGCGACTGAAACATGAGGTGGCCTGGTGCAGCACATTCAGTTGCCTGAGAACAGCACAAACGAGAGAATCAGCTGGGTTCCAGATGAGTCTCTCGAAAAAACCAAATTAGTTTGCAAATGAGTGTATATTCGCTAATTTCGTGCAATTTGGTTGCAAGTACAGACATAAGGTAGAAGGGAACCCGGGGAGTGCGCCTACCACCTGATGAGCCCCAAAAAGGGCAAACCGGTCATGGATATTTCCCAATAAGGATAAAACAGCTGTGCATCGTATCTTGGCTTTTGAACATAGATTGGCTCTCAAATATCGTAGCGACTGAAACATGAGGTGGCCTGGTGCAGCACATTCAGTTGCCTGAGAACATCATAAACGAGAGATTCAGCTGGGTTCCGGGGGAATTTTTTACTTCATCCAAACTAAACCCGACTCCTCACGGTTTTGTAGAAATCCACGTCTCATTTAGGTATTCCGTGGATGCCATATTTACAATACGGGCCATTCGCTGGTTAGTTCATTACCATAATCGAAGAGAAGAGCAGTAAATTTCGGTAATACAACAGTCACTCCACCATATGCGGAGAACTATTTTCCATGAACGTGATAAAATGCTAGAGTAAGACAGTGATACTGATAGCCTTCCGATTAACTACTGAACGGTTCTACTTGAAAGTTTCACACTGAACGGGGTCTCTTTTATTAGTTGTAACATACCCTAAGACTAAACCATGATTTTAACGTGGTAATCTAAATTGAAGAGAAAAACTACTATGGGGAAAGTTACCATTCCCAAGTATATGGTAAAACCAGCTCAGAATCCCAAACGATAGGCGCAACCAGGTGATTACTAATGCACTCATTTGCACGATCAGCTGGAATTTACCGGAAGCTCAGCAGAATCTCAAATGAATCTCTCATTCTTGATATTCTACAAAATGCTGCCTCGTGTTTTAGCTGGTACAATCTTCGAGCACGCTCTCATAAGTGTGCTCAGACTGGTGTTTTCCTTCTTGGGACACTTCAGGTAGGTGCAGTTCATGGTTTCCCAGCAATCTACGCTTTGTTTGAATATCACATTGTACTCAATTGGTGGGTTCAGTGTTCTGTCAAAAACATGCTACGCTATCCCGAATATCGTACCGGCGGAAACCCGAAACAACTCCTGTCCAGACATCTATTTGAAGAATATGATAAATTTGAGATCTAGCTGGAATTTAGTTGATTCGGCTGCTGCAAAGTGCTGAATTTTCAAATCAGTGTACTCTGCCAGTATTACAGAATTTAGTGTTAAATTGGAACAAGAGGTTGACGGCTACTCTTGCACTGCGCCTACTTGATGAAAGCGAACAAGGATGAAACCAATCTTGAGTTATTGAAAATTTTTCAGTAACCTTACTAGCAGTGTGCTCCAAAATGGAAGGATAAAGTCAGAATAAGCCTTTGTCACTTGACCCTAAAAATCTACTGTTGGATCTAAAAGTTCTCCGTTTAGAAATAGCCATCTTTTGCGAATTCCATGTAAAAAGTGGTGAGTTAACAGAGATTAACCCGAAGTTTTCTGTAACGGGCTAAACCATTGTAACAAACAAGTTTTACTCCCTTTCATATATATGGATATAGATTTGTGCTTCATGCAGTTACCCAGAATTGCTGTGTCACGAAGACTTGTATGGAATGTCTTGAAAATAATGCTTTCCATGTGAAACCAACGCAGACGTAAAATGATCTACCACTCACAGCAAAAGATAATCACTGTCTTGCTTACCAACAGTTTCCGTCTACTGCCCGGCCCTGCCTAATATAATGGAATTAAAACAGTACTAAAAAATCTGAAAAAAAGTCAGACAACGTTAACCGCTAGACTGGTCTTTTCCCCTCAGAACAAATCTGGTTAGTAGTTTTAAAAGTTTTTATAGAATTTCGCTCCCTTGAATTAAACGGAACAGGATTGTAAACGACCTTCGTAAGCGGTTGAATCAAACGATGGCAAAGAGCTTTGGTTTTTTATCACGTTTCACACCTGAGGGAATTAAAATCCCAACTTTTGCAGGAGAGGGATTCGTAAAGTCACTATTCTTAATTGTGCTTTTGCTCTTGTTTCAGTGCGTATCATACAAAAGACCGCGCATTAAAGAACATACGAAGCACAGCTACCTTTTAACTGAAGTTGGATTTTTGTGATAGAATTGTGCAAGATCACCTTTCGTTGGTTTTCTCACAACACATGCTTACGAAGAGCTTAAGGCCTTAAGTCTTAAGGCTTAAGTCTATAAACTCTCCTTACTGATGGTTCGCAAACAAACGACCAAAAACCCGAGCTTACCAGAGCAATGTTGTGCGCACGGCGTTTCACTCGTCGCAACTGTCGTTTGAACTGAAAATAAAGATAGCTGATAAGTTAATGCAGTACGAAGTTCTCTGTCGTATATATCAACTAATGCCATTTTCTGACAAGCGAATCATGCGTTCAACTTAAAATACATGCTAACTAGGTAGTCCGAGGTGGGCATAGAATCCACCGTCCTTCACTACATTGCTTTCGGTGAACAGATGTGTGATTTATCCGAAGTAGAAGTTTCCCAAGGAGTGCAAACTTGAGTTTTAGGCTTCTAGGGTCACATCATTATCGGTTCTGGGTTCGTTTCATACGAGTTCAAGAACTGTGATAAAAGCCTAATTTCAAATGGCGATCAGACAGGTCTACACAAACTCTCCCCCAAACTTCCGAAGATATGACTGCTCCAATAAATATTAGCTTCATCTAGTGAATGATACGAATAGCTTTGGTGCAATTTTAAGTGAAATTTACTTTGGTCCAGAAGCTATTCAAACCGTTTTAGCAACAAATGCGCGCTATTTTCTATCACCAATTGTTTCCTGTTACGAAGGAGAATCTGATGTATCACTGTCCAACTCAGATGTCAATTCAGATATCATTGATCTCATTGTACGATACCAATAAAAGTAACGGACAGGTTTGGATAAAAGTACTGATAAACAAACTTCCTAATCTCGGTTCACTATCAGCAGAAAGATAGGTGCGCACAAACGTATAAGTTGTCCGACGATATAAAATCTAGATCTGGCATTGCGCTTCTGGCGACCTCTTTGTTTAAGGCTCCGGCATCACATGTGCAAAAGAATGCTCACTTGCAGCATACCAGCAGATCATCCTTATGACTAGTTTAGCAGTTTTATCACAAGCTAGAGTTGTATGTATGTTTGTTTATGGTAATAATTCTCCGGGAACTTGAGTGCGTACGATGTGAACTTATATTTGCTTGTACACCCAAAAGCGATTTATTTTCTTAAACGACTAGTAACACGAAACAAACTGGTGGATGTCCAGAGCAAATCCTCTAAAGCCCCAACCAGATACTGGTTTTGGTAATGTGCCGAAATATTGGCAGTTCGGGTGGGTCTGTTGGTGGTTGATCAGGTAAGTGCCTTTTGATCTGTTCGCCCAGCTTGGCAATTGACTTGCAAACGTTTCGTCGCCATACGAGGAGACATCATCAGTGAGCAGTTGGTTGCGGGGGGTTACTCTGAGTATACTTCTTAGATGGCTAGGAGATCCTCGATTAGGCCTGTCTAGATGCAGAAGGCAGTAAACCTCGAGGTGTTTGAGCTATGGTCAACAAGTTTCCTGAACGATTTGGCTTCCACCAATGAAATACTGCTCCAACTGGTGAACTGGTTGTCATCCTCTATTTTGGAATTGGTAACATGAAGCTGGCTGGGTCATTGTATGAAAACATAGTCGTCGTAATTCATCGAAGTCTAGGGGAAGTAATAGTTGGATGACTAGGCCGAATATCATGAAGAATTTTTTAATCGAAGCAATACGCTGCGTCCAGGATGAACACATTATCGATACACTTTTCTCATTTATACTGTCGTTGATTTAGTTCTTGCACAAATGCATTCCTTCAGCTGTCTGGCTGAGCAAAAATTCGCATGTTTAAATTACTCCAAAACATGCATGCTATGCTGATGAAACAGTATAAGAATCTTGCCTTAATTTGGTACACTAACAGCCCGTGATAATTTAATTTCTTCCTATGCAAGAAACATTTTTCTCCTAACGTATTTTCTAATGTCATCTGAGAACTAGATGCCGTTAGCTGGGAAGGCAAAAGAGCTTCCGTTTTTTGGTCTATGTCTACTGACAAACTGCATCACCCACACAGACGGTATTAAAAAGTTAGGGAACTATAGTGTGGGTCACACGGTTCGTCGGGTACGTTAGGTGGATTTTCCAAGGTAAGTTATCCTTTTAAAATAACTGATGCAAGATCTGCAGTTTTACATGCAAAGACGAGTACACTTGATACGGGACATTCATATCTTTGTTTCTCGGGTTCAAAAATAGGAGACAATACGTTTCCATTGTGAATACCGCGGGCAAGCATGTTACACACACAGTAGGCTGAACAATACATTCAAAGGGAAGTATTTTTTCATTATATTAGGTGATGCCATGTGGTAAGTGTGTATCCCTATGATTGTGAACTGATGAGAATTAACAAACTATGAGTTTGGGAACTAATTATGCTTTACAAAAACGTTGTCCGAAGTTAAAGAATGGGTCTGATTATTCCTCCACATCCACCGGAGCAGCTGAGCAGGTCCATTAATAGCCAAATACCCATTACCTCTTCGGAGTCGAGTCCTCTAATCGAAAATTTGGTCCCGAGATTAGATCAGCTGCAGCCCTTTTAGAGTTTCTTTGTCACTTGAATCTATCTTTTTTCGAAAGAATGTTCTGTACAAAGGCTGTCTCATTTTTCAGTTGATATGATGTCACAAAACGATTCAGCTTCTATTCAGTACAACCATCCATTGAAACCAAATTGCTGAGAAAAATTCGCAAAATTCGTGCAACTTGAGTTCCGGTAGAACAAAACGTTCACAAAAACTCGGAGAGGGCATCCAACTGATTAGCCCGGGGAAGGACGAAGATGGTCGTGGATGTCTAAGATTTTTTTAGTAACCTTGTGATTATTTCCCCCGCCGATCCAACCGTTGAGGAGTTAACTACGACAAATCCTCTCCCTCTGTCCAAAGCTTTGTGGTGTTGAATATTGAGAAAAGAATGATTCTGATGAGTCGTGTAGAAGAACGGACTGTGCAGCTGTTCTATCCTCACTGGAAAGACATCGTCCTTTGAGTCTCGTAGACAAATGGCGGACTTCCGGTTGCTAGTTGGGCACCATAATTTTTGGCTAGGAATCGCTGGTCCACATCGTGACTGTAGGGCTCCCAATCTTTACTGATTCGCATCACACCATTGCTAACCAACAGAAGTTGAAACCTCTTGAGGTGCACACTACTGACAATTTCCAAAAATATATAAGAGTTGTGCGATGCGTTTCAGCACACTGTAGCAATTTATAGTGGGTGAAATTTCCAATTAAACCTCTCGCTACTTGTAAAGCTTGTGCATTCGCCTCAAAATGAGGAAATTTCCACAAGTTGAGAAGTCATCACTCGAGTGGTGGGTCATCCAGACCGGTAGAAATGAAGTGAGTGAATGAAGGACTGTCTCTCTATCTTCTGTTGGAGTGCAGGTTGACCTTACTGCTTCTCAGTCTCTTGTGACCGAAATGTATCGCGCTCAGCTAGCCACTAGACGTTGGTGAGCTAGATCCTTATAGAGGATTGTGAGGTACATACTGCTATTTCAGGAAAGAATGATGGCGGAATCTTCTACAGGCCTCTGAATTAACAGAATTCACAGCAAGGATGGAGTTCGTTAGGCGATTGCCGGGTCTTATCACTACGCACTAATAATAGCTACAAAATCAAAGCTCACTAATTAATTGTTGAGTGTTAAGACACTCAATATATGTAGTACATATCCAAAAAGATTTGTGAAAACAACCTCGTGTGTGCCCAATTTTTAAGAAAAGCTAAGAGGCCGACAGAGAATAAGGCATGCCATACAATAGTGAGATACCCTAGCCTAAGAAACATAAACTATTCTCGTTGTTCTTTGGATAAATCTGACATCTCAACCATTGCCCAGAATACAACCCAGAAAGTTGCGTGAGTTTCAACGATGACAGCCAAGTAACGAAGCAATAAGCAAGATTTTGTTTTGCAATTGAAGGTATATTATAGGGAAGGGCCAAGAAGCCCTGTACAGTCATTTCACCCTCTCTGGGAATCTTCAGTATTGCGCTAACCACTAATCGCTGAAGAGACCGGGACACGTGGCCCACTGGCTAATAGTAGAAGACAAAATAAACAGTGGGCTGGAAAATGTTCCTCACATATTTGCTACAAAAGTAGCGGCTTCCGCGACGTTGTTCTGGCCTGGCAAACTGTGCGATAAGTCCGTGGCCATGAGCGAGCCACTGTAACCGTTTTTCTTGTCTATGAATTCTGTCAACCTCTGGGATAAAGCCGGGTAGTCTTCGAGTTTTATTGTGAGCCTTGAGGAATGCCAGGTCCGTAACACCGAAGAACCCCGTATACATGCTTTCACTGTTTGTCTGTTTCAGAATCCACACCTGAATGGATGAAGCAGTCTAGTTATCCGGAGGATAACTTCATACAGAGAATGATCCAGTTGGCCTGATACAATTGCTTGGAGGAACAAACATTCTAAGACCAGCGAACGAAGAGCTAATTTCCTTTGCCTCTCCTGCTCTTTTCATCGTTTTAAACATGCCTCAACATGTTCACGTGCATCAAATTTTAAAGGAACAATGCATCAAAATGCTTCAAAGCCTTGACTGTACTGGTACAGTATGAAGTACCTTCCTTTTAGATTACTGTAGGCAAGCAATAAACCTTGATTCGATGAGTTTAGCTTATGTACAATAATTCCAGTGATTACAAAGGTAATACTCGAATAAGGCAAGGTTAGGGTGAACATGATAGATCAATTTATTGATCTATCAACCTTCTGCTCTGTCAGGAAATGAGGTTCACACATGGCAGTATGAGAACTACCAACTGGACATTCACAGCTGACTAGCAGCACTCATCGACTCAGAAACTCATCCTGTGCAATACTACTCTCGTTTTCGGTGTTCTGTCAAACGCCACACTGGGTGCCGTTTTGCACCAGGTACTATGTATAAATCCTGAGTGACCCGGACTACAATGGGGAGAAAATATCTTAGTGGTAGTTTCACCAGGAAATTATCCTTATAGTGTCGTTGGTTAATCAGTCATCTCTGTCTATACAATCTAACACAAACAGCTGTAACAAACGTTCTGTGAAACTTACCAATCAGTGTTATGAATAGAAGTAAGCTCAATATTATCACCATCCTAGGGAGGCATAGCAAATTCGGCAGGTGCAAACAGTATCGACTCCTCATTGATTAGCCACTAAGAGTTCGTTCTTGGTCCGTGAACCGCTATATGCATACTTTGGACGGCTCTTGGTTATCAGAAAGGGTCTAGTCGAATGATAGGGTAACTGCAAGTACCGTAATGTAAACTTAAACCAATGAAGGTCAGTCGTCCCGCATGTTGATCTATTACCTAGGTATGGAACCTGGTTGATGAATAGACAGGCACCAGCAGCGGTCTACGAGAAGTTCGGCTATTTGTTTGTTAACACTACAGGACGTCAAAATTTGGTCTAATGTATACAATCCGCACCATCTGAAGTTTTGTTTGATAGAAACGTAAGCAGTGAGTCGGTTTGGATGTGTTTACACGTACCGTTGGCATCCTTTCCGTCCGAACAAAGGTAGAATAATATAAATAGGATGAATGTCGTCGGCCTGAGTGTTCCAGTATGTGGTGTCACTTCAGTTAAGATTCCTCCTGGAAAAGGCCACCTTGGACGATGGCCGATCCTCGAGGTGATTACACGCAGTTTGTTGACTAGTGGATTATGCTATCGTGGACTATCCAGTCTCTCTTAGATGGGGATCACTTTTCTCGTTCGGATCGTTAGCGGCATATTTTTCCATTGGGATTTCGCTTGTAATTCGATCTGGCAAATTCAGCCTCTAAAATATCACAAATTAAGCCATTTGTGGTCAGATTGGTGTTCTGGTATATGTTGGAACTGACTAGCTGTGGCAGCATGTTACTGGTCAACCATACTGATGAAGAGTGGTGCAATTGTAACTGGCTGTGTGATGACCCACTTTCGGCGTCTAAAGACATTTGCAAATGTCTCTTTGGAACATACCGTGGTGCTCTCAGAATCTCTAGTAGATTTTTTTAAATATCCCGTTTAATTAAGGTAATTTACTACAAGAACACATGGGGTAAGGTAAAATGTTTGAACTCAGGACACCCAAGACCATGTGGAAAGTTCTGTGAAAACAGTGCACGTCTTCTGGAAAGTTCCTGAGCGGATGCCTGTCGAAGAGCCATTAGTTCCCTGCCCTGCTTTTCAACCCATATCCCTTGACATCGTTGCGCACACGCGAACCGTATCCAATTTATTCACGCAGGGCTATTATCTTCGTCGTTTAACGCCTACCATAACGAAGTACATGCAAATATAACTGTGCCATTGGTATAAAACAGTAGTAGGCCTTAGAAACTTTAAATATGGACTCAAAGACATATAGTTTGGACAAAAAGACAGAGTTGTTGAACTTCAAGCGAACCCGCGAACCCTACAATCGATAAAGAACTCGCCCAGTGAAAAGAAGTTCACAGCTTCAAGGCCACCCCAAGGAATTTTCTTCTCACTTGTTTTTGTGTGCTCTGGCCCTAATTCAAAATTTGCCATTAATTAGGAAATCTCGACCAAATTCATTTCACTACGTCTATTCCTAAGGCATTTGAGGAGTGTGGGAGAAGAAATTGAGATCAGCCCACAAAAAGGCGTTCGAATGTTAGCCTCGGCGTTGGAATTTCATCCCCCTGGAAATGAAGGTCTCGTGTAGTAAAATATGCCGATTAGAGTGACTTTTGACGTGAACGCGTTTAAGAACGCATTAAAAAGGGCACTTTTTCAAAAACGTCATTTCCAGTGAATGACGATTCTACAGCAATCGGGGAACCTCGATAACGGAATAAGAAAAGCAGTGGATGAGGATTTATTGCATCACACGCGACTGCTTATCTATTCAAAACAATGAAACTGGTAACTCTTCAACCAGAATTGCGCAATCCATCCCACTTTTACCTTTATTTATCCAGAAATTCAAACGACTTTAGGTAAATAAGTTCTGACCTCATTTCGTCTCATCTGAGAATCAAAAACGGGAAAATATGCCTGTTGAGCTGCCCATCTTTGTTTTGTGTATAGTTGCCTTCCTCCACCGAAACGTTGAACGTGTGTGCACCTCAAAATGTCGTGTAATTTTCATCTGTTTCATTTGCTTTCATCTATTCTGCTTGCCTGAAAATCCTTTTCCACATACACTTCTCGTGCGAAAGCAGGTACCTTGCAGGTACCAAGCACCTATTGGCTTGCTTTTTGAACTGTCTGTGAGGTTTCATAGACTCCACCTCAACACATATTTTTGATACCCAACTTGCACTTGAGCGTAAGACTCAGTCTGACTTGTCAGCCTTCCAACCCAATAGTGGGAACTGTGACGATATAAAATCTAGATCCAAACCTCTGTACCCATATGATATATATGGTTTATACATGAATATATACCACTAATATATACACACAGATGCCTTTTAGCCTAGCTTATGCCTGAAGAGACAAGAATTTGAGTCCCTAACCTATCTCTTATTCCATAAAACTCTCTGCAGTTGACACTTCGTCCCTATCCAACCTAGCTTTTCATCCTCTACTTTCACTTGTTTTCAGGTCACTAACCTTTTCTGCTCAAGCTTCGCAGAATTACCAATCGTATTCACATTGCACCCCTGAAATCGACCGTTCACACATCCGAATCAAGCTGTCCCCAATTTGGTTGGTTTCTTTGTTTTAACGCCTATTCTGTATTTACTGGTACGATGGCTGATAGCTGAATAAGATAACGCAAATTATATGAGCTCGAGTCTTTATGTCAAAAGACTTATCCTTAGAAACGCATCAGACATTTTGTTACGTTTCCAATATCGCGTTCAAGCTTAGGTAACTGAACCGAGGAAGAAATCGTATGCAAGTAGTAGCGGGGAGTTACACCTTTCGACCGTTAGGCCTGTTTGTCACCCAAAAAGCTGTTTTATTCTCTTTGTTTCAATATTTCTGGTTTGATGGCCCTTGTTACAAGCAAAATGCACTTGTTTTCCTTTGTAATGAAAGCACTTGACGGATCTCTAAGTGGAAACAGTTAGAGGACGTGTGTGCATCATGAACGGACCAATGTATTCGCGAAAAACGCTATCACCCAATTAGCCAGTCACGTTAAGAGATCAGGTAGCCCTTAAGTGCTAGGCAAACAAAAGGTACCCACCAAACTGTGCAGTGATGATGTCTCCTCGTTTGGTGACGAAACGTTTGCAAGCACGGCGAGCAGAGCAACAGGCACCTACGTGATTAACAACCAATAAACTCACCAGAGCTAACAATATTTCGACACACCACCGTCTGCGAATCATGCCCATGTAGTTATGCGGAGTGCAGTTTCATGAAAACAGACATTTGTGAGTTGGACACAATAGTAATTGCAACAAACACAACTCATATAGCCTTGAGAAACTGAGTCTGATTAAGCAACCCAGTACCCACTTCAGTATTTAATAGAGTAGATATTTGACTAGAACTTATTATGCTTTGTTAGTTTATACACAATTTCAGACGTACACATGCTGGACCATGTTAAAGTAGGCGGAAAAGTGCAGTTTGTTATGAGAGTACATCAATTGGATGGGTGGTCCCTACATCCGGTTTACCGTTCTCGCATTTTTCTCAAAAGCACGCAGTTAAAACGCGCAACGACATTATTATGGCCTTTCATGATAAATTTTGTTGACCCTTACTTCTAGTGAAAGGGTTTTAGTCTACTGATAAATTACAGCTGACCTAGTTGAAATTCTACTGCGACACTAGGTTTCGAAAAGCATTGAATCAATCACAGTTTGAAGGAGATTAATCGCCCGCAGCTAGCAAAAAGCTTCCCAGTGGAACTTTTCAAGTCAAGGTGGTTTTAGACGTAATACACTACTCATAAAGTTGCTGGAAACTTCGAAATCCCCGACCGACTTTGCCTATTTATGGGTTCATCAGTTGGTCCCAGTCCCGGAGTTTAGGCCAACCTTATTTTTATCATAAAAAGAGATGCATCTGGTTCCACGTGAGTACCCCTTCGAAACCAAATCGATATGCACAATGGTTTTACTTTCGCGATTCACTGTCAAAATTTTCAGTTACTCAAAATGTTAGGATCAGTTCTCCATCAGTTTTGTACCCAACGTGGAATAAATGAGTTGTCGATTAAAACTACAATTTCTTTTGAAAGCCATAGCGGAGGGTGCCGCCTGATAAATTTCTCCATCGGATAGTTTGGACGAAATCAGCGAAAAAGTTGTAGTACTGGATGCTATGAATTCAGGGAAAATTAGCCGTTTTCCAAACGTAAGAGGGGACGTTATCTTCTCTGTATTTTTATAGAAACTTGAGTTGCGAAATAAGGAATCTTCGCAAAGTAATCGCCTGTCGCGCTCATTTTGAGTAATCCTTATCAAAACAATAAGCGCTGGCCTCGACTTCCAAACTAATTAGATCTGAACAGCAATACATATCCGTGGTTGCGAGGGTTTTAGAGGCGCCGAACACCTTACATTGCCACATTCCTCTAGTGCATGTTGAAGCGTCTGAACTGCCACGTCTGAAGAGACGAATGTGTCCACTTTCCGAACGACTCATTGGTAACGGTTTTACTCGTGTCCAGCAACTGACCCACCAGGTAGGGCGCATCCATCAGGGGATGGTGTTAGAGCGCCAGCAAAAGCTTATTCCTTGTGCACATATGAATGAATTGTGGAGTTTGCATTCACATCACTATCAGTCTTTCTCATTCCGAAGGGTCCTTTGCTGCTACAGCCAGTTCATGTCTATACCCTGGGGTGGAGGTCGAAAAACCTGCCAAGCACAGTAATTTGAATCTTCCTCATTTTAATTGGAAACACTTTTAATTAGACGTATAAATATCTAGGTTTAATAAGGGTTCGTCCTAAGGGAGGTCACAGCGGCTTTTTCCAGAAAATGCTTCAGCTTTGACGTGAAAGCTTTTTCCTACCAACTACTTAAGTTAAAATGTACCCTGAGATTGAGAGCAGACTCAAGTGGGTGGGTTTGTTTGACAGAACACAATGGAATATGCAACACAAAATACCTGAGGCATAATAATATATCTATATTTCTGGCTGATAAGCCAGTGGGCACGTCTCATTTCTATCCGGATAGTCTTCTCAGCCGCACTGTCAGTCCTTAAATGATTCACGCAACTGCTATTCCGTTAGATTTATGTCCTC